AATGGTGGGCTGGTTGATATTTTCTTTTTTATTGGGGTTGATGATGATGATTCTTCGGTGGTGATATTTGTTGTGTTATTGTTGTTGGTATTTGCAGTAGAAACAGATGTGTCATTAACAGTGGTTTTTGCTGATCTTCCTTTTATGGATGACGCTTTCAGCACTATAGATTTTGATTTGGTAGGAGATTGATCTTGGTGTTTCTTTACAGTTTTACTTGATTTATATATTTCTGTAGACGAGGATTCTGATTTGGACGACGAATGATGTTCCGATCTATTTACATATTTGATAGTTATCGTTGTCCGTGTCTTCTATACGATGATCTTTATGGTAAAAATTTCAAAAATCAAACTTACCGTTTTCTATCGTCAGCCCTTTTATAACGTTTTTTTGTTCTACTGTCATTACTTGACATCTAAAAATATGTTTAATCAATAAACTCGTCACTTCAGTTCAGTTCTTTGTGATCCAAAATATAGAAATGTCAAACCAAAAATTTACCTGATTCAAGTCCGCGGAATCAACGCGACTCTTACCAAAAACATCAACACCACCATTACCACCATTAGCACCCTGTGGATGTGTGGGTAAAGCCCGAATCTCGTATGGCAATCGAAATCCGGGTAAAGGAAAACTGCCAACGAATTCGTCTGACAGTCTGATGCACATGTCGGGTGGTAAGATTGCTTGGAGTTCACTGACTTTTTTCGAGGCTTCTCTTAGGGCATTGCATGCTTCTGCGTATGATTCGGCAACCTTTATTTTTTTCGATCATTAGTATTAATCTTATTGAAGTAGGTATGATTTATTAGTTGTGATTATTGAACTTATTATTACTAATACGAATTTTTTTTCGTTGATAATTAAATTAAATAATAAAAATTTTTGAAAACAAATCGACAAACCTCCTCAGTCTTTTTAGTAATTTCTTCGGCTTGCTCTATTCCGATGAATTCGAAATCCATTATAATGTTTCCTCTTTTTTTTTGATTTTTCCTTTAAAGATTATTTTTATTCAAGAGAATATGATTTACCCGAGATGAAAACTTTTGATAAATGTCAACAAACAAGAGATATGAAATGATTGGATTGTGTGGTCTTATGTGGCTGTGTGTTCATTACACAAACAAAAACCTTCCTGAATTAGTGGTGATTATCAATATGCCGATCATATTAAGCATGCACATGAAAATATTAATTTTCAAAATAATTTTATATAAAGTCTGCATTTCTCAAATATAAATTTTTGTTGCAATCTGATATCTGAAAATTAAGTTATTAAATATTAAAAATATTAAACTATTTATAAAATTAACATTATATTATTAAAAAATATTATAAATCTAATTATATAAATTAAGCTTTCTTTTTATATTAAAGTTTATAATTATATTTATAATATTTTTTATTTTTATATTAAAATAAGAAATTTATAGTTTTTAAAAAGTTTATATAATTATAATTTTTTTAATTAAATTTCATTTTAATTTACAATAAATCTTTTAAAAAGTATATAAAAAATTATTAAATTTAAACTTTATTTTAATATAAAAAATAAAAAAACTATTTCTTAATAAACTAATAAATTTACTATAATTTTATAATTATTATAATAAAGCTTATAATTTTATATGAAATTATTTTATTTTTATATTAAATAAAGTTTAAAAATTATAATTTTAATATAAAAAATAAACCTATTTTTTTAATAAATCAATAAATTTATTATAATTTTATTATTATAAAATTAATAAAATATAAATTTTCATATTATAATAAAATATATAATTTTATAAGAAACTATTTTTATTTTTATATCAAATAAAGTTTAAAAGTTATAGTTTTAATATATCTTTTTTAAAACTTAAATTATTCTTGAATTAAAAATAAAATTTAATTAGAAAAAATTTAATAATAACTTTATAATTAAAGTAATATTTTAAAAAATTTTAAAAAATTTATATTAAATTATAATATATAAATTTTAATATTTATTATATTTTATTAATTTCTAATTTTAAATTATAAAAGTTATTATAAAATTTTTAAATTTATTAATAAATATTTTATTTTAGTTCAGAATTAAACTAAAATTTTTTATTTTAATATGATAGCTTTTAGATTTTCAAACTTTTTTTAAGAAACTTATTTTAATTATATAAAGTTAATTAATTTTTATTAATTATTAATTAATAAATCTTTATATATAACTAGAAAAAAAATTTATAATTTTAAAAAAATATATATTAAAATAAAGAATTTTATCTTAAAAATAAAAATCTTTAAATATAATAAAAAATATATATTTTATTAATTATAATTAGTAAAAAATTGATAATTTTAATAATATAAAAATATTATAATATTTTTTTAAATATAAAATTAAAAGATTAATATTATTAATAAACATAATAAAAAAGAAATATTTTTCTTTATATATAAAGTTTATAATTTTATTAAGAAATATATATTAAATTATAATTTATAAATTTTTTTTAATATGAAAATAAAAATTATTTCTTAATAAAAATTATAATAGAAAGTAAACTTTAATTTTTATAATAATTATTAATTAAATTAACTTTTAATTTTATAATTATAAAAGTTATTATATAATATTAAAATATTTATTTTAAATAAATATAAAAATAAATTTAAATAATATATTATTTAAAAAAATTTAAATTAATAATAAAATTAAAAAAATTAAATATAAAATAGTATATTTTTTTAAAAATAATTTTATTTTAAATTTAATTTATAAATAAAAATATAAATTAATAATTTTTAATAATTAATAAAATAAAATATTTTTCAAAAAATTTTAAATAAAATAAATAAGAAATATAATTATAAATTATATAATAATAAAAATAAGAATATATAGTAATAATCAAAAATAATAACTTAAAGACTAAATTTACAAATAAAATATAGTGAAATTAAAATTTTTTCTATATATAAAAATTTATAATTTTAATAAGAAATAATTTTTATTTTAATATTAAAATAAAGTTTATCAATTATAGCTTAACATCTATTTTTTTCAGATTTTTTAGATTTTTTCTAAAAGAGTTGCTCTAATTGTAAAGTTAATGCAAAAATT